GGGGGGAAGGGAGGGGGTACTGTTGTTACGTTCCTACAGTAAATTATATTAATCGCTCGCACTTCCATTAAATGAACCCGAAGGACAAAATATAAATAGCATTGATTTAAGGATTTAACTGCTTTAAGTTGACATTTATATGTAAATACATGAACAGCGTACATTTGCAGTGATATATATGATTAAAACACCTCGAAAGTAATGTTTATTTCTTTGTTATTGTCAAAGTAAGTATCAGGATTGAAATTCTTCTTATAAACCTTCAGTGTACTCTCACCTGAGAGGGCGTGCCCGCGGGAGATAACTCCACTCGCAACTACGAGGCCATGATAAAGGGAGGTAAGACCACTTGCCTCTGAGAGGTCGTGTTAACACAACTTTTATCTTAGGGTTGCGATCAGGGGAGATAACACCACTTGCCTCTGAGAGGTCGTGTTAACACAACTTTTATCTAAGAGTCGCGATCAGGGGAGATAACACCACTTTCCTCTGAGAGGTGATGATGAGGGGAGATTACACCACTCTCATCTGAGCGATCGTGACAACAACACAATCATCTTAGGGTCGCGAAATGGGGGAGATAACACCACTCTTACCTGAGGGTCGTGTAGAGGGAAATTATACCACACTGCTCTGCGAGGTCGCGATAACATCGGTACCACTCGCATCTAAGTGTCGCGATCAGAGAAGATAATATCACTCTCAACTTAGAGGTTATGATAAGGAGAGGTAGGCTTACTAGCAACCTTCGTTTTTCATAGATCCATAAAATTAATAAAGGAATCCGTATCTTTAAATGGTCTAGTCAACAAGATATAAATATATTACAAGTAATAATAGCATTCAATTCTGTAACGCTAATGATGTTGAAGATGAATTCCATTTTATAATTAAATGCAAATTTTATGAGGATTTTAGGCATGAATATATTAAACCTTATTTTTACAAACGACCAAGTGTTTTCAAGTTAATAGAACTGTTCAATACCAAAATCGTTAAAGATCTAAATAACCTAGGCAAATTTTTGCATTTAAGTACAAAACGACGAAATACTATTGTTTAACTAAATATAATACTGCATGTTCTGTATGTTATACCCACATACAGGTATATTGTGTTTTAGTAATCTATGTTATGCATTGTACACTATTGCATCAACTGTAATTTGTGTTATACTTATACTTATGTATGTCTACTCTCCGATGTGTTGTAAACATAAGGAAATAAAGAATCTGAATCTGACATTCAATTTAATTAAGGCATTCGAAATACCTTCAGATCTATTTTTAATTCTAACGTTAATTTCATTCATCAAATACTGATTGATGAGAGAGTATTTACCAAGTTAACAAACCCTTACGTTGAAAATATGATAAAATTCAGATTTCAAAAGAATTAAATGGTACTTTGAATGTACAATAGTGTATGGTAATAACGTCCGATTCCGGAAACAGTTTTCGGAACAGGGGAGATAACACATTACGGTACAGTTCCCCTTTCTCGGCCTAAGTGACCGCTCCCTAACACATCACTGTCATCACATGTGGGTAATTTTAAACGGCGATCCGGCGCTATGATGAGAGATTAAACGATCACTTTTTATATGGAATACGATATGTCTTGAGCCCCCTCCCCATTCTCCGTACCTTATTCAGCTCGCTAGGTGTCGCTCGCGATGCTCTCGTCATCAACAGGTGCCCGTCCCTTTTCTCACGGCCCCAGGGATCGACCCTCCCATAGCCAATGTCACTACTACAGGAGCGGTAGTTAATTGATATCGTGAACATATGACCTGTGACCCCATGTCGTTGTATTTGAGAATGGTTTAGAGTTACTCCCCCTTTTTCCGAGAACCTGTCACGTCGAGGAATTTTAACTACGCGAACAGGGAGACAATCGTACCCGTAAAATAGATAAAGGTCAAAGGTCAGAAGTCGCTGAGGAGGCTGAAAATTCCATGCGCATTCCTGAATGCGGTAAGGTGATAAAGCGTCTGGTGTCAAAGAGGATAAATTTATCAATTTATAGAAATGTTGTTCATGTCAAAAAGAAAGATTTAGATTGTGTCATACATGTGTATGCGCATGACACGATGTCCACGTGAGAAAACAAGGAATTAAAAAGCTACTTAGTAACAGTTATATATAGCATAACATTTACAACCTTTAAATTAATTGAAAAAAAGACATTTACACGTTTACTAATATTTACTGCTGGTATCATACAAAGAATTAATATTTACAAGACACACCACGAGGTTTTTAATTTTGAGAAAAATAACATTTTATACAATACTCGTTTTCGAAAGTAATCCTTTGAACCCGGAACTTTCTCATTTATAGTTTTGCTGTTAATTTTTTTTTTGGCAATGCATCAAGAGATATGGATAAAAAGTATGAAGGGAAAAAGGAAACAATACAATACAATACAACATAGTGCAATATAGGCCAATACAATTATACAATATAGGCCAATACAATACAACTATACAATATAGGCCAATACAATACAATTATACAATATAGACCAATACAATACAATTATACAATATAGGCCAATACAATTATACAATATAGGCCAATACAATACAACTATACAATATAGGCCAATACAATACAATTATACAATATAGGCCAATACAACACAATTATACAATACTACTCAACACAACACAATAATTCAATACAATACTAAAATACAATACAATAATGCAATACAATACAACACAATACAACACTATGTTAAAAAGAATTTGGCAATGTATCAAGAGATATGGATAAAAAGTATGAAGGGAAAAAGGAAACAATACAATACAATACAACATAGTGCAATATAGGCCAATACAATTATACAATATAGGCCAATACAATACAACTATACAATATAGGCCAATACAATACAATTATACAATATAGGCCAATACAACACAATTATACAATACTACTCAACACAACACAATAATTCAATACAATACTAAAATACAATACAATAATGCAATACAATACAACACAATACAACACTATGTTAAAAAGAATTTGGCAATGTATCAAGAGATATGGATAAAAAGTATGAAGGGAAAAAGGAAACAATACAATACAATACAACATAGTGCAATACAGTAATACAATACAATTATACAATACAGTAATACAATACAATTATACAATACTACTCAACACAACACAATAATTCAATACAATACTAAAATACAATACAATAATGCAATACAATACAACACAATACAACACTATGTTAAAAAGAATTTGGCAATGTATCAAGAGATATGGATAAAAAGTATGAAGGGAAAAAGGAAACAATACAATACAATACAACATAGTGCAATATAGGCCAATACAATTATACAATATAGGCCAATACAATACAATTATACAATATAGACCAATACAATACAATTATACAATATAGGCCAATACAACACAATTATACAATACTACTCAACACAACACAATAATACAATACAATTATACAATACAGTAATACAATACAATTATACAATACAGTAATACAATACAATTATACAATACTACTCAACACAACACAATAATACAATACAATACTAAAATACAATACAATAATGCAATACAATACAACACAATACAACACTATGTTAAAAAGAATTTGGCAATGTATCAAGAGATATGGATAAAAAGTATGAAGGGAAAAAGGAAACAATACAATACAATACAACATAGTGCAATACAGTAATACAATGCAATAATACAATACAGTAATACAATACAATTATACAATACTACTCAACACAACACAATAATTCAATACAATACTAAAATACAATACAATAATGCAATACAATACAACACAATACAACACTACACAATACAACACAATACAACACTACACAATACAATAAAACACAATATAACACTACACAATACAACACTACACAATACAATACAACACTACACAATACAATACAACACAATATGACACTACACAATACAACACTACACAATACAACACAACACAATACAACACTACACAATACAATACAACACTATATAACACTACACAATACAACACTACACAATACACTACAACACAATATAACACTACACAATACAACACTACACAATACAATACAACACAATATAACACTACACAATATAACACTACACAATACAACACTACATAATACAATACAACACAATATAACACTACACAATACAACACTACACATTACAATACAACACAATATAACACTACACAATACAACACTACACAATACAATACACCACAATACAACACTACACAATACAACACAATACAACACTACATAATACAATACAACACAATATAACACTACACAATATAACACTACACAATACAACACTACACATTACAATACAACACAATATAACACTACACAATACAGCACTACACAATACAATACAACACAATATAACACAACACAATACAACACTACACAATACAACACTACACAATACAATACACCACAATACAACACTACACAATACAACACAATACAACACTACATAATA